AAAAAAAAAAAAAAAAGGAACTCCAGTGAATATGGAGAAGGCCTCCCCCAATTATTATCACACTGAACACTGGCCCTCTTTTCCCCATTCCCACTCATCCATCCCAACTTCATTGCCTTTAAAATAATTTCACTGGCTCAGCGCTTGTGGCTCAAGTGGCTAGGGCGCCAGCCACATACACCTAAGGTGGTGGGTTTGAATCCAGCCCGGGCCCACCAAACAACAATGATGGCAGCAACTAAAAAATAGTCTGGCGTTGTGGTGGGCGCCTGTGGTCCCAGCTACTTGGGAGGCTAAGGCAGGAGACTCACTTGAGCCCAAGAGTTGGAGGTTGCTGTGAGCTGTGATGCCATGACTCTCTACCCAGGGGGACAGCTTGAGGCTCTGTCTCAAAAATAAAATAAAATAAAAATAAAAATAAAATAATTTCACCACCAAAACCATGGGGAGCACTGTCCAGCACTTCAAACATCTGAAAGAAAACGATGGCTAAATAATGTGAAGGAGACAAGTGAAAAAAGTTAAGAGGAAACTATAACTTTACATAGGAAGAAGTTAAGAGCTTGATATAAAAGAAGGGGAAAATATAACAGTCAAACTCAACAAGGAAAAAAAAGACGTGGTAGAATATAAAATGGAATTTAACTGATCAAAAATTTTTCCAAGAGTCTGTCTTGAAACAAGGTGCAAAAGGATGAAACAGCCACACCAACATGATGAAAACTCCAGGGAGTTTGCTTTTTGTTTGAGGCAATACATGCCACTGGAACACTGTGACATGGTGTAGAGGGATTAGTTAAGAACATAATGGCTTTGGATTACAATTCTGACTGCTACTGTTTCTGTAACCTTCAACAAATTTATAAACCTGCTAAACCTCACTTACCTATTAAATGGAAATAATAACAGTAGCTAATTTTGTCAGGATTGAGATGACAACCTGTGTAAAGCAAGTAGTACACTACCTAGCCTATTGTAAATGTTCAATAAAAGTTAGATTGTGAGTTATTATGATTCTGGCAGTGTTTGGAACTTTATAACTTGAGGCAAATAAATTAGTTTTTTGGAGAAATAAAATAAGGCTTTTTGGAGAGATTAGAAGGAATCAGTCAGTGGAGGTAAGTAGACATCGATTCTAGGAGATCATTTTCCAAGATCAAACTCAAGTCTCAGGGTAAGATTGCTTTCACACAGTGGGCAGCAGAGAGTAACACACAAAGAACACAGGTGGTCACTTTTGAAGGACTCCCATTGGCCATCTAGTAACTATAGTAATATTCACCAATGAGGTATGTAGCACTTTTTCTAGGATGAGTTTCCAAACTTAATTGACCTCATAAACAATTTTTTTAAATAGTGGCAAAAATATAACAACAAATCCAAACATCTGTTAACATTAGAATGGATAGGTACATTATGGTACATCCCATGATGGAAGGTAAGTCTACAGTCCCTTTGCTGTAACCTGGAAATCCAAAAATCAGTGATAGGAGTTTTCATGGGGTTTCAGCAAACTTATTTTGTAGCAAACCAAATCTGGATTGATATGTATTCTATTCATTCCACATGGTATGAATATTTATACATCTACTTGCCAAAATATTACTGTGTTTTAATCACAGTGTGCAACCCCAGAACCTACTAGTCGTATCAAATAATATATTATGTATACACAACTTTCTTTTCTAAAATTGGAAATATTCTAAATTCCAAAATGAAAAACTAAAGGAATGACTAGGATAGTGTTGTGAACCTTTATTATATAGTGGTAAAAAAGAATAACCTATAGATACAAGTATCAACATGAATATCAAAAACACTATATTGACTGAAAGAAGCTGAAGGATCCTATTCATGAGAAGGATAAAAACAGACAAATATGAACAATACATGTTTTATGCAAATATGCATAGATGATAAAACTATAAAAAACTATTCTTATATGTTTTAGACAATTCTGTATTTTGCATGTGTTTGAAATTTTTAAAATCTTAAGTAGTGGGAGGCAAATATTGAAAACAATTGATTTCATGGAGACAGAAAATAGAATGATGGTTAACAGAGGCTTAGAAGGATAGCGGAGAAAGTGGGGAGGATAAAATTGGAATGATTAATGGATGCAAAAATGTACTTAGATAGAACGAGCACTTTTTGGTAGCATAACAAAGTGACTATTATGGAGAGTGGGTTGTGAGACAGCAGAGACCTCACAGCATAGGGAACATTCAGAGAATTGGCCCCCAATCTCTTCTCCTCCACTCCCTAAACAGCCATTTTCCTTTCTTCATGCTTCCTCTGCCAGAAGTCAAGTAGCCCTTTCTTTCTATAGTTAACTATGCAGATCCTTGAGCTCTCTCACTTCTTTCTCCTTTCATATGTTAATGAAGTTAAGCAGAAACCATTAACAGGATGGTTTACGTTTGTTAAAGTCATTCACATTTTCCTATTGTACTGTAAGATCTAAACTATGTCTTTTGTTTATGCTACTTCCCCATTTTGCTATGTTACTTCCCCCTGGACAACCCTGTACAGATACTATAAAATAAAGCTGATTTTGTGCTTTGGGGCTGGCTATAACCATCAGCTCAGTCAGTCCTCCCATCCCATCCTTTGTTTCCATGTCTTCTCTTGTGCTGCATTTTCTTCATTCCCCACCAATTCCTTTCTGGTTTGTGACAGACTATGATCAACAATAAGTAATGGTATATGTTAAAATAACTAAAAGAGTAGAATTGAAATGTTCCTAACACACACAAAAAAAAGATAAATTCCTAAGGGGATGGATACCCCAACTACCCAGACTTCATTAATCCGGATCATATGTCTGTATGAAAACATCACATGTGCCCTATAAAGATATGCACTATTATGTACCCATAATAATTGAAACTAAAAAATAAAAATAAATAAAAATAACAGGCTCAGCGCCTATAGCTCAACCAGCTAAGGCACCAGCCACGTACACCTAAGGTAGCAGGTTCAAATCCCCAGCCCGGACCTGCCAAAAAACAATGACGGCTGCAACCAAAAAATAGCCGGGCGTTGTGGCAGGCGCCTGTGCTCCCAGCTACTTGGGAGGCTGAGGCAGGAGACTCACT